TGTGGATGTGTGTGGAAGTGTGTGCGTGTGTGCGCACGCATGCGCGGGCGCGCGCGCTGTGTGTGTATGTATATCTGTGTGTGTGTGTGTGTGTGTGTGTGTGTGTGTGTGTGTGTGTGTGTGTGCATACGTTTGGGTACGTGCGTGCGTGAGCATGTGTGTGTGTGTCGATCTGTAATCTTTTGTGTTGGTATTCGTATGCATTGTGTATGTTTGTGATCAAACGCAGTCATATAATTGAGTGTGCTTTAGTAAATTAAGCTCAGATCAAATGTTCTGGCAGGCAAAGAAACAAACTAAAAATAAAGCCACGGGGTGTCTTGTAGAGCTTTTGAATTAGAATCAAAGTCCTCTAGCTGAAAGTTCTGATACGAAAATAATATAATAAATTTGCATTTGTCAAGCAAAATGTCATTTGAATAATACATAATGTATTGCTCTCTTGGATAATAAAATAATTTCGTCCCTGTTTATTTGGCAGAGAGGAGGAGACGACTGTTGGCGACGAAGACCGGGTTCACTTTATTATGGTGCGTGGCTACCCTAGCCGATAACCTGTCGGGACTCGCAATTGAAAGGTCGCAAGTTCGAATCCTCGTCCAGTTCCGATATTTCATAGCTCTTGGAAAACACTAATTTATTATCACTATTGTTGTTATTACCATTATATCTTTTTTTTTATTTCACCAGGCAAATCTAGTAAAGTATAGTTCGCAGTGTAGACACTCCGTTATCTCAGTTGGAATTATGCTTAAACGGTGCCGTTGAACCTGGTTCAAATCTCCGACAGGCTTTTTTTAGAACCCAGTTGGTATTGTAAGTCTTCGGGGCTCTCCAGTCACATGGTTTAGTGCTGTCTCAGTTGAACGTTAAATTAGAACATCCCGCCTCTTAAATAACTTTACAACGTTCATTATGGTGTAATACCCATACAGTATCAATAAGCTAGCTACGCAACGATAACTTGATAAATTTTGTTTCTACACCAACATAAGATAGGCAAGTGATTTTTCGGCGGTATAGAAAGTCGGGGCCTTTTAATCTATTTTTAGTCGACTTCAACAAGCCTGATATTCTTAAAATTTTAAAGGGTCTCACAAGACATTAAGCTAACAAAGCTCGGGTATGAAGTTGAACGGCTCAGTTTTTATACAGGTACCCCAATGGACAAGTTTAAGTTTAAAATATTGCCGGCCTAAGAGGGTTCCGATAAGAGACTATAAATGATCGCGAATCGGCGAGATCGATAAGTCAGTGCCAATAACCATGTGGTAGTGCGTGGACTAATGATGTTGGTAGTGGAAGGCTCAACACGATAGTGCTCTCAGACAGACAGATACGTGCCT